AGGGGAACAGTAAAAACTTGACCTGAGGTAGAGGATGGTAGAGAATAGCCTATGGTTCACAAGAAGTGGAGGTGATAAGCCTGGGCTACCATCTGACACCGGGGACAGCGATAGATTTCTATTATCTACATAGTGTGGAAAGTCAGAGTTGAGAAACTACAAGGCTCATTCAAACCCCTTGGGTGCTGACTACAGCAGAAAGGCACAGGTGTGACCCAGGTATTTGCATTGACAATCTACAGAGAGAAGGAAAATCCCACTGAAGAGGAGACTTGCTCTACAAACACATTTCCACAAAGTGGAGCAGTTGATACAGGAAGTAGGATATCTACCCCCCTCTAGAACAATCAATTAAAAACACAAACTAAATTATGGAAAAGTATTAAAATAAGTAAAAAAAATCCTGACATTCCAAACTATAGTTACTTGAACAACTGAACAAATTCTTAGTTGATTGGAAGGCAGCTCTTAGTGCATCAGGCAGAATGTAGCAAGGGGAAATAAAGGACAGAGAACATAGCAGAGCATCTGAAACACCTGGAGGACAAAAACCTAATGGGATTACAAAGGGAGGCATAAAGGAAATGAAAGATAAAAATGATGAGAAACGAAGACATCATTAGCATGACTACTACTGAATGGGACGAATAAAAACGAACCAACACCTAGACAGAAGCTGGAAAAACTAAAGAACAGAAAAGACTAAAACATAAAATATTTTAAATGCATTGTAAAAAAAAAAAATCTAAAAAAACCCCGATAGTCTAGAGCTGGTGCTATGGCATAGTGCGTAAAACCACTGCATGCAGTGCTGACAATCCCTATGGATGCCAGTTTGAGTCCTAGCTGTTCTATTTCCAATCCAGCTCCCTGTTAAAGCACCTGGGAAAGCAGTGGAGGTGTGATACTCCTGGCTCCTGGCTTCTGCTAGGCCTTGCTCCAGCCTTCTCAACTATTTGGGGAGGGAACCAGCAGTTGGAAGACCTGTCTTTATGTTTCCCATTCTCTTGGTAACTCTGCCTTTCAAATAAATAAAATGAATGTATTTTTTAAAAAAGGAACAGTCTTGCTGGGGTCCATGCAGTGGGCGTGGAAGGCATGAAGGTGTGAAGAGAACAGCTCTCCTGTGTGGCAAGGCCCGGGGGAGCTTCCAGCTGTTAGGCAAGGCCCAGCGGATTTCTCTCTGACCACCTTAACACAGTTTCACCACCTTTTTGCATGGACACTCAAGCACCCCACTAAGAATTCTGTAATCTATTTGAGGCATTGTTGTTTGCCCCTGTGGGATGGCTTTTGCCACTAACATGAGCTTGAGAGTTAATGTTACTGATAATGTCTTGGTGAGTGGGCCTTTAACTGTGCACAGGAGCACAATTAAGCCCATGCCATTTCTGGACATCTTATTCTGTACCTACCCATTGCCCTGATGGGTCCCAGACATATAGCACGCCTTCTGGGAAATGGCTTAATAAGAATTTTACAAAGTAATGGAAGTGATGGGAGTGAGAGCTAAAACTGCTATGGTAATAAATATAGTCATTGTTATCTCAAAGGCTAGCCTGCCTTTGCAATTTTTTGGAGCATAGAAAATGTAATTGTTTTAGCTGCTTTTATAATTTTTAGCTAGAGGAATTAAAGATGCTTTTATTAACAAAAAATGCTTTTGATTACTGCTTTATTGTTTATGGGGTTGTAGGAGTCTATAGTTGTAGGGGGATTTAACATTTGAAGTTTCTGTTTTAGATTTTGCATTTTTTCCCTTGTAACCTATTTTCCCATTAAATAATGGGTATACTATAGAAATAGAAATGTGGTAGGAATGTACTACTGATTAGCAGGTAATCGCATGTGCCTTGGCCTTGGAGTCCTGGCTATTGCTCCATGGCTACTGTTGAAGAATAAATAATGGCTTGCTTTGAAGAATATGAATACAGTATTTTGCAGAATTATCTTTAGAGGCACCTGCTTAGCCCTGAAGTGCAGACAGAGTGACCAAATGTCTGTACATGCCCCCTTAGTCTTGAAGTAAAAATAGAATAGTTGCTTATGCAGAAGCTTGAGAGGGGTTTTGAGTAAATAAAAAGGACAGTTTTTTCTTGAGCTGTTATGAGAACACAGCAAGTGTCTGTGTCTGTGTCTTTATCGCTGACTCCACACACCCTTCCCGAGCTCCGAACTCGGCTGGAGCTGGACTCCGGCATAGTCTGACAAATTTTTTTTTAAAATTTCATTTTAGGGTCTGGCATGATGGCTCAATTGGCTAATCCTACACCTCCAAGCACCAGGATCCTATATGGGCATTTGTTCGTGTCCTAGTTGCTCCACTTCCCACCCAGCTCCCTGCTTGTAGCCTGGAAAAGCAGTAGAGGATAGTTCAGAGCCTTGAGACCTTGTACCAGTTCTCCATCTTAGGAGACCTGGAAGAAGCACCTGGTTCCTGGCTTCCAATTGTCTCAGCTCTGGCCATTGCAGCCAACTGGGGAATAAACCAGTGGACTGAAAAGTTTTCTCTGCCTCTCCTCTCCATAAATCTGTTTTATAAATAAATTAAAAACATCTTTAAAAATGAAGGGATTTTATTTTATCTGAAAGAACTAGAGTGACAGAGGGAAGGGCAACGATCTTTCTGCCAGTTTATTTCCCAAAGGGCTACAATGACTAGGGCTGGATCAGGTCAAAGCCAGGAGCCAGGAGCTTCTTCCAGGTTTTCTACATGGGTGACCGAAGTCCAAATACTTGGGCCATCTTCTGCTGCTTTTCCCAGGCCATCAGCAGAGAGCTGAAACAGAAGTGCAGCAGCCAAGATGTGAACTAGAGCCCATATGGAAATGTAAGCACTGCAGGCAGTGGCTTTACCCACTATGCCCTGAAGCTGGACCTTTAGAAAATTTCCAATTAGCAGCAATATACAAGGGTACTTCAAGCATTTGCAGAAAGCAAAATGAAAAAAATTAATTATTGGTTCAAAGAATTTTTAAAAGATTTATTTATTTTCATTGGAAAGTCAGAATACAAAGAGGAGGAAAGACAAAGAGGAAGATTTTCAATCTGCTGATTTATTCCTCAATTGGCCTCAAAGGCTGGAGCTGAGCTAATCTGAAGCCAGGGGCCTCTTCCAGATTTCCCACATGAATACAGGGTTCCAAGGCTTTGGGGTGTCTTCTACTGCTTTCCCAGGCCACAAGCAGGAAGCTGGATGGAAGTGGGGCTGTCGGGGTATGAGCTGGCACCCATATGGGATCTTGGTGCATGTAAGGTGAGGCCCTCAAAGAAGTTTTGAAATCCATGTATACTTTGTGACTTTAAAATGCTCATGTTCATTAATCAATCATGTATAACGGACCGATTGCTTATAAACATCTGAGATTGTTAATGTCCCTTTGATCACTGTTACTGCTACAACTCATGAGTAACGATGCTCTAGTTTTTATTATAATTTCTTTAGCGTCACATGGGTCATGCACTGGCATGTATTCCTACATGAAGGTTCTTAATATTCTTTCTCAACACTCTAGTGACCCATTGGAATTTTTATTGTATGTTTGGTAACTTCACAGATGAAAGCTTACTATTATTTTCCCTGGAGTGGACTGTGTACACTGGTTCTGCATTTAAGGGGTTGCATAATGGAAGTGCAGTGAAAACTGATATGTTCAGACGTGGAGACAGAGAACAGGACGTCTCTATGCATACAGAACAATGATGGGCTCCCAGCAAAATTGCTGATAATGTCCTGACAGTAAGATGCTGGACTTTGCAACATTGTTCATGCCTACATTCTTGGGAGACACTTCAGTGGCAGCATGATGGACTTACGTTCATGAAAGAAAGCCATTGTAAAACTGGAGGGGAAATCAGGTGGGATGGGAGAAAACTTGGCGAGCAGGATGGGAAATCCCAGTGCCTATTAAACTGTGCCATAAAACAAAACAAACAAAAATGCTCATGTTATGCATGAATTTCAAAATTTATGTGTATCAAAATAGATTCATGCTTTTAAAAAATATTTGGAAGGCAGACATACAGAGAAGGACATAAAAGAGAGATACAAAAAGAGATGGGAGGAGGGCAAGGGAGTAATGACAGATATGGCGATCTTTTATCTGCTGGTTCTCTCTGTATATGCCTGTTATAGCCAGGGCTGGGCCATGTCAAAGTCAAGAAATGGCCAGGAATACCTGGGGAAACAATTTATGCACTGGGAACTGCTTCTGATTCTTAAACATGACATTGAACAGATGGCCTAGATCTGAAATGCCAGTTTTTGTCTATACTCTGTATTTCTAGCCAAAAGCTTGCCATCTTAGGGGCACAGGATTACACAGAATTATATGTGGAGTTTGTTAAATGGTCTCTAGATACACAGAATCATGTTAATTGGATTCATATCTCCAATCTACCTTAAAAAAAAAAGATTGTTTTAAATTTGAAATGCAGATCTTAGACAGAAAGTAGAGACAGAGACGGCTTCCATTCACTCGTTTACTCCCCAAACAGCCACTAGCTGCAGCTCAACCCATCTGAAGCTGGGAACTAGGAGCTTATTTCAGTGTCCTCAACATGGGTGCAGGGACCCAAGGACCCATGCCATCTCCCGCTGTCTTTCCAGGTCATAAGCAGGGAGTTTGATCAGAAGTGGAGCAGTTGGGATTCAAACTGGTACCTATATGGGATATTGATGTCACAAGGTGAAGAATTAGCCTGTAATGCTACTGTGTCAGCCCTATCTATTCTATTTTTAATGAGCTGAGTGCATAGATCAAGTGACTTATATTTCCTTTGCCTCAGTTTCTACATCTACCTGAGTGTAGCACAGTTTTAAAAGATAAAATAGACAAAGATAAGCAACTACCACTACTCTAACACCTAGCACATTATAGGATGATAACTCCAGGTATTATTCTTTAATCTTAATTACAGTGGTGTAATTTGATTTTTCTAGTTTGAAGGAGTTATCTTTAATAGGGCTAATTAAAAACTGAAGCATAAAAGACACATACTCTGACATCCACTGAGCAGCCCACGGTCCAGGATGGATTTCCCAGCACTTGATTTTGGCATAGAAGATGGACTAGAGAAGATTTCCCAACACCTGTAAAAGATACAAGAATTCTAGTTATGAAAGGCATGCTGCAACTTCTTACAGCCGGGGGAAGACTGAGAGCATGTGGCAAAAATGAGATGCAAAGCAAAGCTGTTGAAAGAGTCTTTCCTGGGTAAGGGAGGATGGCTGGCAGCACTGTTCTCTCCTGTGGAGTACCAGAATCACCTGGAGAACCTCTGAAAACACAGTCTGCTGGCTCCCCTCCTTCACACTTTCTGATTCAGCAGATCGTCACAGGTCCCAAGATTTTGGGTTTCTAATAAGTTCCCGGGTGATACCAATACTAACAGCCCAGGGCTTCACTCTGAGAATCACGGGTCGGCAGCAATTTCAGATTAACTAATTCCTTTCCATTTAAACAACTTTATTTAGCTTGTTTGAGACACATGGAATCTAACAGATCTTTTAGGTAGTTCCTCTCTCCTGCACACTCACACTGGGGTCCCTTCCTAGTATCCTGTTAGATGGTCTTCTAGGTAGTTCTTGAGTACTGTCAGTGACAATGCCGTAGTTAGATACTTCAGTTCTGACCAAGAGTGATTTTAAGAAGCAGCCAAACATTTGGCCCAGCTTTCTGCAATGGGAAAAAGGACGTCTTTACTTCCTCTTCTATATAACAACCATTTACGTTGTCTTATACACAAAATATTGTTAGAGAACTAAATTGAGCAACAAATATAGCATTTACAGTAACTCTGAAATTCATATTATGTCACTGAAATATTTGCAGAATGGCAAACTTTTGACATAACAGATTAAGGTGGCATTTTCTTTCAGATTTTTTTGGGCACAGGGCAGACCAATTACTAATGCTAACAGGAGCACTCAGAGATTTCTATGAAGAGGAAAGTGCCTGAGTTACATCCGTACATCTCTGTGTGGAATAATTTATTCAATAGAACTTTGGAATTCCATTACAACAAGCAAAGTTGGTGAATCTTTATGAATCATTAATTACATAAAAAATTTAGATAACATCTTTGTGTGAATTATTGATATGAATCATTTTATTTTAAACTTATATTAGCAATCTAGAAAGCTTAAAGAAACAAAAATCACCATGCAAAGATTACCAGTATCAGCATGTAGTTGAAGTACTATCCAATATTTAATCGTACATTTCTCTAAGAATTTTGGGAAGTTCTGACTTTATTTTCACCTTTAGAACTAAATTAGATCAAAAGAATGGACTCAATTTGCTTAGGGGGAAAAAAGGCCCAATATAATTAAGTAAATGTCAGTTCCAAGAATAGCTGTTGGAAATGTGTTAAGCTCATTACATCCCCTGCTCTCTGAGAGAAGAGAGAAACCAGCTTGTGTAGCTTAGCGCGACTTTCAAGAATCCCTACTAAATGATCAAATACCTTTAGAATACAAAACAAAGCTCCAAGTCTCAAGTCTCTGCTTTATATAATTGTGAAACCCTCAACATTTCACACAGTAGATTAGAATTTACTGAAAAATAAACTTTGATGTTTGAAACAGCAGCAGATGAAATGCAAAAAGTATACTAATCTGTCAAGATAGTAAAAAGCTGTTAAATGGAAACTGGTAAAAAGACAAGTGACTTTGTACATTTAACCTAACTTAGTGAATGTGTGACAAGATCAATTATGCTCCTGGTGGGCACAGCTGTGTCTTCTGTTGTACAACCATACTGGATTAAATGAAGCCCCAAACCTGCTAATTATCTTGCACATGCCAGCAGCCAAATCTGCCCTTTCCATGTAATGCACTAATACCAGTCATACCTCCATACACAGTGCCTATTGAAAAAACAAGTGATCGCTTCTAACAACACGTAACAGAAAAAGATCGTCAGCTATGATAGAAAAGCAAAGCAGAGGAATGGGGACACGCACTCCCTGGATCATGAGGAGCAAGTGGGGTGCTGGCATCATGGCTTGCAAGTTAAGCCTGTCTGCTGTGCTGGTGCCAGCATTCCACATGGGTACATGGTTCTAGTCCTGGCTGCTCCACTTCCAATCCAGCCCCCTGCTAATGGCTGAAGAAAGAGGTGGAAGATGACTCAAGGCCTTGGGATCTTGTACCCATGTGGGAGGAGTAAGTTTCAAACAGGATCACTTCTGGCCACTGCAGCCATTTGGGGAATATTTGGGAAATAAAGCCATGTGGGGACTGTGTCTCTCCATCTCTCTATAACTTGATCTTTCAAATAAAAATAAGTTTAAAACAAAAGAAAAAGGAATTCAACACTAGAAGGTTAGAAAAAAAAGCCCTATTGTTCTTCAAGAGCACAGACAAAGGCTGTGAATGATAAACAGTTCACCAAGTCAATCTCCTGTCCTTTGCCCCAAAATGAATGTAACTGGATACCAATACACTTAGAGAAACCAGCCAGTCCCCCAAAAGGCAAATACTATGCTTTCCCTGATCTGTGGTAATACACAGTGTATCCAAAAACTGTAATCTATAGAAGACTAATTTTGCAGGTCTTTGAAAACTGGAATATGCCTTCTCTGTATTCACGCATCTAGCCAGCACAATGTCTGCTCATAGCACACACTCAAAGGTCGACTTCAGTAAAACCAATCTATAAAATTCAAAGGCAAGATGTGTTCAAGTTCTTAAGGACAGCTAAACTTGAGGGGTGGTGGTGGCGGTGGACCAAAAGAGACACTCTCCTGGAGGGTGGGAAGGAGTACATATTTCACCCGTAGTTCCCAGATGCCCACGGTGAGAACCAAACTTTGAAAGGATAATTAACTGTGTCCAGAATCAGATACCAAAGGCTTCAGAATGAGACCTTTAATTTCTTTATTTCTGACAATCTCAGCATGCAACTGGTTTTCAATTAAGTTTACAATAAGAGGCAGGCTTTTGCCCTAGCAACGAAGAACCTGCACTGGGATCCATATTTATGTCCTATTGCAGCTGTCTGCTCATGCAGACTCAGGGAAGCAGTGGTCCAAGTGCAGAACTCAGTTTCTAGCAGCCACGTGGAAGACAGAGTCTTGACCTGCACTTGCCTCTGGGGTTTTAGGCAGTGAACCAGCTCTTTTGTTTCTCTGCCTATCAAATACATTTTTAAAAAGGGCTAACAAGGAAATCGAAAAGCGCCGTTAAAAGTGAAATAGGACGACTGCTCAGCATTTCATTACATAGCTTAGTGTGTGCGCGTACGGATTCTGGGTTCATGACATCTCTCCAACCTCACTTTTGCACCCTAAAACAGGGTAACAGAAGATAACCCAATCACAGCCCTCGCCAGGATCATTCCTCTTGCTTCACTTTTCTAACGAACACAATCTCACGAAGAGACCCTAGTTATTTCTGTACCGCTTACTTGGCGCCCAATTAAAAATTCAAAGTCTGCATAATTAGAGTCGTTGACAATGCACTCCTGGCTTGGGTCACCAGAGAGGCCAAGGGGGTTAGCTATTCAGGAGGAGAAATGCCAGGGCTCCGTGTCCCCCACCCGCGCGACGTGACAGCTTCGTCAGACACCAAGGTCCTCTGGGAAATGTAGTCTTTAGGCCCTGAGAGGGAAGGCGGCTGCAGGCAGTAGAGCCAGGAAGTTGTGCGTGTAAGAGTGAATGAAAACGGGATACAGGGTAACGCCTCATTGTCGGAATCCCCAGAGGTGGACGAAGCCGCTCACCTGAGTCTCCCAACACAAGGACCTTCACCCGATCCAGAGCCGCCATCTTGCCACTGCCTTCCTGGGTAACGCCTGTTCCGGGATTGTACACCAATCAGAGCGGCGTATGGCGGGCAGCGCCTTCAATTTCATTGGCCGGACGGAGCTTGCACGGTGTGGATTGGCCGGTGCAGTTCAAGCCAGCGCGTGAATCCCGGCCTTTGTCGCAGAAATTAGGCGTTTTCCTCGTCGCGCGAGTCGCGTGGTTCGGTGAAGCCGGTGGTTGGGGTGCTGAGGAAAGCTGTAGTGGGAGTGTTCGAACGTTCGCTTGGTAAACCTTGTTTCCTGCTCGTTCCCAGTTTTCTGGCGCAGTGTCGCTTTCTTGGTCTCTCATTGTTTTCGCTCCTCTCTTTAACTACCCCCTTCTCCTTAGCTGCCCTCCTGTCTTGGTCCCGTTTTCGGTCTTTCCGAGAACGGTTGGCCCGACCCGGCCCGAGAGCGAACTCGGGAAGGGAAGGACGTGGCTGCGCCCCGCGTGTGCCCCTCGACCCACCAGTTAAAGTCCGTGGAAATTGGGGGAATCGGGGGCTTGGAGTGGAGTGAGCGTTAGAGAACTGGCCTCGTGGAGCGCAGCTGCAGCTTTAGGTACGAAGGCGTGGAGCGAGCCGTGGAATATGAGAACCGAGAAAACTGCAGTTAGACACCCTACATAGAAGCCCGGAACAGTTGTATATTGGGATACTCCAAGTGGATTCTCCTGTTCTCCTTTTCCTGTTTACTGCCCCCTCCACCCTCAGCATAATCCTTTCAAAGCGCGGTTTTGATCTAAAATCTTCTAAATAATAATAAGAGGTTTGTCTCGTAGTCTCTCTTTTTTTAAATTGTTGTGGAGGAAGTGAGTGGCAGGATGTGTATTTTGGAAGGATAGGTGCTTAGGTGTGTGAGAGGTTTATTAAAGTCTTTGTGGTTAGAAGGTGGAAATCCACTGATGAACTAGATGGGGACAAAGGTGCAAGCTGGGGAGTAACCTGTGAAGGGAGACCTTCTGGGCAATTCTGGGGAATCCGGGAAGGTGCCTGAAGACATGTCATTGGAGATCCTAAGAGGGCTTGGCGCTTAGCTTTGGGGGCGCGGAAGTAAGGAAGGCTTACCTGTTTCCTTGAATTGAGATTATGCTGTGTGAGCATGGAGCTGAGAAACATTCTTTTCAACTTTGCTTCTCCAGTGTTCTCTGGTGCACAGGTGACTTTAACATTTGGGTGATGACAAGTACATATGGGTCTGGATTGGGGAGGGTGGCAAGTCAGGCTGAGAGCTGACTATGAAGATGAAGAGGAAACAAGGGCCCCTGGAGGCTACACCCTCAGAAGTTTCAAACACCTGAGAGGCTTGTTTCAAGTTCCGCCTTGGTTTATTGTGTCCACATGGGAACTTGGGCCCACATTGTTCCACCAATGTTCAAAAGGAGCTGGAGTTTGTTGAGATTAATTTAAACGCTGACAGCTAATTCAAAACTTTGAGTGCAACTGTGTGATCTGTCAGTTTGAGGCCTTTGACCTAAGTAACTTCAGAAATCCCAGTGGGTCAGGGCAGTGAGCATGGGTGGGCAAGGGAAGTGGCCAGGAAGAAAAAGCAGTGGTCGGAAAGGAGGGTGTTCAAATGTAGGGGCTTGGATCTCGCCTGCTCTCAGTCCCAGCTCCAGTCTCACTTCTTCAGTTATCTGCTGGGCATCTTCAGAGGAACAGCCTGTGCTATTTCCTCAGAGACAAGTTCTGGAGGTGACTGCTTTATTTCTTCTGAATCTGCTCCTCTTCAGGTGTTATGTGTTTCTTATAGAAATATTTTTTGTCTGCTTACTTACCATGGCTCAAAACAAAGATATATTTAAGGTTTTCCAACACTAGTATGCTGTTAAAGTACACCGGTATAATATATATATGTATATATATATATATATTTAATTTCATTTATGTAGGGCATCTGTTCTTTCTATCCTCTTGTTGCAATTTTTTTGCTTTCTTAGTTTAGGCCTTATACTATGGCTCTTCAAAGTTGTATAGTAGCACTGTCTTCATTGCTTATGTGAGTTCCTTGCACATACTGCTTTGAGAGTCACTTTTGTAGTTACTTAATATGAATACCAATACATAATTGAACTCTTATGTCAGTCCTGAAAGCAAAACATGGTACATTAGCTATTTCATTTAGTCTTTACATCAATTATGTGAAGAGGGCCCTGTCAGTCGTTTTTTTTTTTTTTTAATGTAAGAAGAAACTGAAGCTGAGTATTTTCTTGGGTCACAGGTGAAGAAATGCTGGAACTGGATTCAAATCCCAAAACTACTAGATTGCAGAATCCCCTTGCCACATCTTTGCTATCTGGGGCTTCCTACCATGTTGCAGTCAAAGAAAATAGACCAAATATTTAGGCAGAACAGGGGTCTATTCATGCAGGATTTGTTTTAGCAGCAACCACAGGGATCAGGGACTTTGAATACTTTTTAGGTGACTCTAATAAGTTTTTAAAGTTTGCATAATACCTAATCTGGCTCTCCTAGACTAATACTGAAACTGGGAATGTGGTCCAGGGTGGTTGTTATTATTATTATTATTATTATTATTATTTAGATTTATTTATTTTTATTGGAAAGGCAGATTTACAGAGAGGAGGACAGAAAAACGAAGATCTTCCATTTGGTAGTTCTCATTCCCCAGATTGCCACAGTGGCTGGAGCTGAGCTGATCCAAAGTCAGAAGCCTGGAGCTTTTTCTGGGTCTTCTTGGACCATCCTCTATTGCTTTCAAAGGCCACAAACTGGGAGCTGGATAGGAAGTGGAATAGCTGGGACTCAAACCAGCACTCATGTGGGATGCTGGCCCTTGCAAGAGGAGGATTAGGCAGTTGAGCCATGATGCCGGCTCTGAGGGTGGTTATTCTTAAGGTAAGGTACTGTCTGGCCAGAGGAGACTATCACTAGATACAACTAATTAAGAAGTAATACTATTAGGAAGTAATACTGGAAAACCGGGTTAAATTGGTTTTTACTATTTGATCTGCTGGCTGTTTCTCAAGCTGTGTGGTAGGTCCTGTCAGCTGTTTATGAAATAGCAAAAGAACCAAAACTGGTTCTCAGTACCAATGTGTAGCTGAGTACCGTGTGCACCATAGTGCACTGTGGTCTACATTGATGTTAAACGTAGGTGTTTGCCTGGCATGACTGCGATCACTGGAAAGCCCTGAGACACCGGTTTGGAACCAACTGCTACTGTGTTTTATCCTTTGCAATCATTCCTGAGCATTTAGAGTTCATATTTTCTGATAAATGGCTTTGCTTTCCCTTTATCACAGGTAAAACCTTATATTTTATCCTTGAAATATGTCAGTTTGTTTTTTTAGGAATTTTTTTGTACTAGAGTTCTGTCAATATGAAAGTATCTTATTAAAAAAGGTACTGATTCTGATTAGAATTGATAACTGCTGATTTCAGATAAAAATCACAATGGAAGCTGGCATTAATAACTGACTATGATTCAGTGACCTGAAATAGTTCAATGAGGTTTCTCCATTAAAAATTTACTTACGGAGTAGGGACATTTTACTGATGTAGCCTGTGGCTGGCCCAGCCATTCTTAGTTTGGAATATATTAAATTGATACCAGAGTACTTACATCCTAATTGATTAATCACAACAGCCCTGCTGACGTAGTTGATGATATGCTTGTTTTTCACTAGAGAAATGTAGTTTGAAATTGTTTGAGGAATTTACTCAGTATCCTATGTTTTTCAAAATGTAGGGTGATTCAAAAGCTGTTTTATAATGTACATTTATAACTCTCCCAAGCACATTCTAGTTTGGGGGTTGAGAGGACAGACAGCTTTCTGGGTCATGGCATGAACGTTAGATTCACTGTAGCTTTTGCTTTTTCCCACAGGGTATCAGAGATTTAATGGTATCTTGGGCTTTCCTTCCATTTTCTTTTTCCTTTGTGTTCCTCTCCGCCCCAAGATTTGTGCATTTTATTTGAAGGTCAATGAAAGAGAAGGAGGGACAGAGATCTTCCATTTCCTGTTGTTCACTTTCCAGGTGGCCAAGACAGGAATGGGCTAAGTGGAAGCCACCAGCTTCGTCTGGATCTCTCAAATGGGCATCTTGGGCCCAAACACCCAGGCCATTTCCCGCTGCTTTCCCAGATTGTTAGCAGGGAGCTGATTGGAAGCTTAGTAGATGGGACCTTTGCCAGTGGCTACATGGGATGCCTGTGTCTCAGCCTGTGTCTTTGTGTTCTAGGCAGCAGTGCTAGCCTCCCCTTTTCTTTGTTTCACACTAAGTGGTGTTTGCATAATTGTCAGATTTAGTCTGACAATGTTAGTAAAACTGGATCTGAGTGCTCATTTGTCTCAGATTTGCAACTTTTAATGATTTTATCAGCCACAGATTGTTTGTTTATATTTGTTTACTTGTTGTGATTTTATTGTGAGAGCATACCTAGGTAAAATATCCTAAATCTTGGTAAAAAAGTTTACTCCAAAGAAGTAAAAGTTATGTTAACCGTTAGGTTTTCTAGAGGGCTTTTGGCATTCCCAAAGATCTATATGATTAGAAATTGTGAGCATTTCTTTGACCTTTATTGTATTTCTCTTTCTGAAATAAAGTGCTTTTGACATTATTCTGTAAAAATAATAATATTAATAAAATACTAATTTTTATATTTTTTCAGAACCAAACATATGATAGATAATGAGAGTAACCAGTAAAGAAATATGATTGCCATGTTTTTATGCCTTGCTATTTCTCTTTTTTTTTTTCCCTGTGAATTTAGTATATATAAAGTTGAAGTTTACTGCTAAGGATGGCAGACCCAGATGTCCTCACTGAGGTTCCAGCAGCATTGAAGAAGTTAGCTAAGTACGTGATCCGGGGGTTTTATGGCATTGAGCATGCCCTGGCCTTGGACATCCTGATCCGAAATCCCTGTGTGAAAGAAGAGGATATGCTGGAGCTGCTCAAGTTTGATCGGAAGCAACTTCGATCCGTTTTGAATAATTTAAAGGGAGACAAATTCATCAAGTGCAGAATGAGAGTAGAGACTGCTGCAGATGGGAAAACCACTCGCCATAACTATTACTTTATCAATTATCGTACTCTTGTTAATGTGGTAAAATACAAATTGGACCACATGAGGAGGAGGATTGAAACCGATGAAAGAGATTCCACCAACAGGGCTTCCTTCAAATGTCCTGTGTGTAGCAGTACGTTTACAGACCTAGAAGCTAATCAGCTCTTTGATCCCGTGACAGGTAAGGTTCATTCAGTTGTGACTCTTTCAGGTAAAATGAGACATGAACCCTTTTTCTTAAATTGACTCATCTAGCTTTTTAAGCACACCACATGTATATTGTTGTAAAAGTGAATGGATCAGTGTGATTCAGGATGCAGTCAAAGTTTTGTTTGGTTTTCATCTTATGTTAAAAGGCGGTTGCAAAATGTTCCTCTTTACAAGGGAAGTTATCCATGGGTTTTTCTCCCTGTGGCTATCCTGCTTCTGTCCCTATTCCGTGTCTTGCCAGCTGGATCCTAATCTAGAGGGTTGGTTTCTCTGAATAAGCTGTTCTGATTTGGGCTGTTTGGAAGCCAGGAGCTAGGAGCCTTTTCCTGGTCTTCCATGTGAATGCAGGGGTCCCAGCACTTGGGCCATGTTCTGCTGCCTTCTCAGGAACCTTGGCAGGAAACTGAATATGAAGTGGAGCATTCAGAACTCGAAGGACCCTACCCATGTGGTATTCCAGAGCTGCCAGCAGCAGATTTTCCTACTATGCTACAGTGCAAGCCCCAGAATTTTGTTTCAATCAACATAATTTACAGAGCATGTGTTTTTCAGAGGTATAATAATTATTATACCAGCATTAATATGAGATGTTAAAATGCCAGGTTGTATAGTTATTTTATCTTGCCTAGAAGACAAGCCTAGAAAGAAAAATGTAGGTTTGTTAATTACTCATTGGATAAAATTGTTTTTTTTTTTTTTTCTTTTTTTTTTCTTTTTTAACAATGATTACATGGTTTAATTAGGATGGGAGGCATAGAGGTTTAAGGAAAATTGAGTGAACTCATTGCTTCCAAATTTGCTATTTATTCTTGTTGTTTCTGGGCAAAAGGGAGAGACAAAGGGGGAAACTACTCGTGACTTTCTACACATCCCAGTATCCAGGGATGAGGAACTGCCACCGCATATCAACCCAGAGTCTCAGTATGTACATATTCTGAGGATTCTATCCAAGTGGTTTGGATAATTCTGAAGTGCTGCCGATTTCACCGATCCGATGATGAAGTCACCCTCCCAATGTCCATTGGCTCCATTCACTGAGATTTTTGCTGTCATCACTTCTTTGAAGTAGTTGTCCAGTTTGTTCTGTTCTTCTTTTGCTACAGCACCAAATGTGCTGCCATATTCCCCTTTTACAACAGGGCCTGTGTCCATTGTTCCACCTTCTTAATTAAGTAGAACATGTTCTTGAAGGTGAGTCCAAGTACCAGGCCAGGTGTGCCAAGCATGGCCGGATCTCCCACCCCTGGGACTCACAAACTCGGCACTCACCTTGTAGCAGAACCTCAGACCAGGGCCAGACAACTCAAACCCTGCCGTATCCCCCTGGATTCGCCACCCCTGGGGCTCGCAAATGTGGCACCCACCTAGTAGGGGGCCCGGGACCTGAGCCAGGTGACGAGAGGCCTACTGGATTCCATATCTCTGGGGATCACAAACCTGACACCCACCAAGTAAGTGGGCCCCCAGCCCCGAGCCAGGAGACCCTGACTGTGCCATATCCCTCACCCCTGGGGTTTTCAAAACCAACACCCAAGTGACCCAAACCCCACCCATTACCCCATTCCTGGGGCTCAGGAACCCAGCCCTCACCACACAGGTGGGTCCCAGGACCTGAGCCAAGCTACCTGAGCCTTGTCAGATCCCCCATCCCTAGGACTCAATTACCTGACCCTTACTGGGCCCAGGTTGGCATGACTTGCCTCACGTCAGTGACTGCAGTCTTCTTGTTATTGTTAAATTTTTATTTTGTAGTAGTTTTGTAGAGATTGGGCCCAAACTCCCACCCCCTCCCACGACAGATTTTTTTTTCCCACATTGTTACAATAGTATAGTCCTTCATAAGAAGTCATGATTCCATCAGTCTGTTACTTAAGTGTGCCCCAACATTGCTGGTACGGACAATGTCAGACAAAGTGATCACAATCTTATTGTGCAGCCTGGCCTAGTCTAGTTCCAGCTCCTGTTTTTGGGTGCTGCAGCCTATCCTAGCCAGCCTGATTGCTGTCCTGGTTCTAATGTGAACTGGCTGGTGTTGCCCTGGTTCTCAGATTTACCAGTGGGTGTTAGGTGCTGGCCCAGACTGGTCTGTCCCCAGACCTCACCCACATGTATGCCAGCGGGTACTGTAGCCTGGCATGGTTTGGGCTGCTCCTTGCCTTGCTTCTTGTGCTCACCTCCAGGGACTGCATCCCAATAAAGGAGTTTCCCAAGCTCCTCCATCGAGTCTCCTCCCAGTGGCAATTCTCACACATACCAGTGGGTCGTTGGCCCAGGTTGACTTTGTCCACTTCCTGTCCTGACAAGAACAGTGGTGTTGGTCAGCTGGCCACACCCATTCTGTTGGATATTGGCAGCCCAGTGATACCTGGTCCGCACCCAGACACAGCTTTCACACAGTTTAATGGGAGTCATGTTCTTGTTTTCTAAAGCTGAAGGATAGAATGCTGTTCACTTAGGTTGTCCCATTGTTGTGATTGTGTTCAAGAGCATAGGTTACTTTTGAGTTCATAGATCTGCCTTTTATTTATTTATTTAAGATTAATATGTTTATTTGAAAATCAGTGTTACAGAAAGAGGTTAATAAGGAGGGAGATCCTGAGCTCCCATTTACTCCCCAGGTGGCTGCAATGGCTAGGACCGAGCCAGGTCACAGCCGAGGGCCTTGAGCCAGGAGCCAGGTGCTGCTGCTTCCTAATCTCCCACACAGATGCAGGGACTCAAGTGCTTGGGCCATCCTTTACTTCTTTCCCAGACCATTAACAGGCAGCTGGATAGGAAGTGGAGCAGTTGGGACATGAACCAGCCCTGAATTTTTAAAATATTTAAATGGGACATAATCCCAATATCAGTTTAGATTATTAATTAAAATCTAGTAAGAGCCTGACTTTTTCTTATTTATGATAAAGTAGCCATTTTAGATGAAAAGGCATTAGAGGAGTTGATACTATATTAAATATTTACCAGACTTGTATTTACCTCAGAAGGGCTTATTTAGGAGAGATCTTAGAAGAAAGCACTAACCATCCCAAGTTTGAGAGTTGCTGGGGTAAATTACAGAGGGAAGTTGTAGAATATATCTGCAGCTCTTTCAAGATTGACTAGACTTTTTTTTTTTCCTTTTCTTTCTTTTTTTGAGGTGGGTGGCTCTTTGGTTTCTTAAAGGAGCTCTGGGCATTGGTTTTGTGTTTCCCTGCAGAAGTTGGTGCTGCACTGGTCCTGTCTTCATTATTCTGGATCATAGTGGAGGATGATGTGCTTTTATTACATTTATTTCTTGTTTGAGACTTGTTTGTTTTCTAAAAGGAGGTGATTCAATTGTATCTCAGTATATAGCGATTGTTCTATAATGCTCCTTTGAATTTCTCCCAGGGTTCGTGCAGATAGCCTCCGGAACAGCTGATTTAATATCCACATACAATCAAAGATTTTCAGTGAGTCGGTTGAGGTGTGGGCAAGGGCATGAAAACACATTATGGAGGCTGAAATTGAAACACTTGTGTTGTGGTCAGTTTGCGCAAAGTGTTTTTAGTGTGAGGGCTTATGGTCAGCACAAAGGTGACAAGATGTAAGGGAGAACAAGAGCACATCAATTAACCTTGATGTCTCTCGGGGAGGATCAGCTAGCATTAATACTTTAATTAATTGGCAGTTATATCCCCCACAGTGAAGCCTAAAGTGCCATGATGGAAAACTCATAATCATTAGAGATCCTTGTTCTGAGAATGTATTTGTGATTATAATTTTGCTGTCACTGCACTTTCTTCTGAGAACACAATGTGCTTATTATTGATTTGAGCTTCACTGTATGATTTGGTTTGCATTTCCCCTTTTTTTGGACTATTAATATGTTGATACCCTCCCTTGGTCTGTACATTCCTTTAGGAAGACTTTATATTTTTCTTAACTTCCTTTCTTGCTCATTCACATCCCCCTTTGTGCCACCCATGATAAAGAAGATGAAAAATAAACATTTGGTATATACAGCGGAGGATGAGGGAACTGTTTCTACCCTGACATTTATGCTTTTTCTAAATTGGTAGATTGCAGTTTTCTACCCTAATTTTCTGGCTGCTTCTGGAGATTGATGATAGTTTTGACCAAATGATGGAGACAGCTGATGGGTTTCTCTTTCTGTTCCTTTTTCAATAGTTCTTATAGGTTGAATTAGGGTATATGTTAGCACCTGGGAGATATTCAAGAATTCATTTTGAAGCTGTCTAGACTTTGCTTTTCCCCTGATAGAAAATTCTTTCCTCCAGTGTATGAGAGAGGCTTTGTGCCAAAGAATGGTGACTGAGGAGTCTCTCAAGGAGTGTCTGGTGATTTTGGATCCAGGAGACTGGGTCCTGGAATTGTCTTAGCTGGGTTAATTCGTGCACAAGTCTGTGACTTTTGTCAGGTTACACCGTTCCCCTTTCATCTCTCTTTTTTCTAATATGGATTTTTCATCATACCTTTCATTCATATTTTGCCTTTGGTGTTCCCCGGGTTGAGCGCTCTCTAAATGCTTGATACTTAATATACATTGATAATTTCATTGAATATTTCATTACATGGAATTGCTTAACCTTTGCCCAATAGTACCTGGTTTTAGAAGCTTAATTAGTATGAACTAGCAGCTTTAATTTCCTGAAATATAGAGGGAGGAGTGTTCTTAATTAAAACAAAGAAAACATAGCATGAAATCTCTCCAAATCAGCAGAACAGCATCTTGTGGTTCATGAGTGCATGTTTCAGATTTAGAAAGCTTTTTGTGTAAAAATACTTAGTATTTCTATTTTGGCAGCCTCAACCTTGGGTTATTTAGTTAATGTCACTTCTAAGTTAAGTTTAGCTTTGTGCCATATTCTCTTTTCAGATGCTAAAGTTAGATGATAAAAAAATAGCTTTATGTTTTCCATTTTTAATTTAAAAATTATGCAACCATAGTGTCAGAGAATTTGGGAGAAGGAAAAAAACTCACTGAAAAAC